TGCTCTGACAAAGATGGGAGTATCCTGCAGAGCAGAGAATATAGTAGAATTTGGTTCTTTATAGTAAAAGGTTGCTGGCTGTGCATTAACATGGAGCTGGGCAGGCGCGGGGTGGGCTCCACGCCGGGGGCCGGATCGGGGGCTCTCACCTCTGTTTCCCCCAGTTTTTATTTACTTTTTCTGTAGAACTTCATGTAGACAAACGGGCGGGTATAGAAAGATGCGAGGAGCCGTGTGGGTGAGGAACGGAGTCTGACAGTGAGGCCGAAGGGAGAGAGGGGTTGCTTTTTCTCTCGTGTGACGGAGTCTGGAAGGGGCAGGCCGCTCGCTGGTGGCGTGAGGGACACAGGCTGCCCTCTCCCCGCAGCGGGTGTGCCATGTGCTTCAGCCTCTGCCTCACAGCCTGGCTGCAGGAGGGGCGTGGGCTCCTGAGTCAGCCTCAGCCGGTGAGCAGTTTCTGCGGAAGGTGCATGGGTCCGAGCTCTACAAGGGATCCTGGGAAACGTAGTTTCTTTTTCCCTTCGTTTAAAGCTGCACACATTTGGCACAGAGAGTACGCTATCACCTACAGTCCCAGGACCTGGAGGGAAAGCTTCATCTTTACAAAATTTCGATCCTTCTCCACGAGTAGTTCTCTTTACTGCTTTTTGCCCTAGAGCAGCGGTTCTCAACCTGTGGGTCACGACCCTTTGGGGGTCGAACGACCCTTTCACAGGGGTCGCCTAAGACCATCGGAAAAACACATATATAATTACATATTTTGTGATGAATCACTATGCCTTAATTATGTTCAGTTTGTCACAATGACATTGGGGGTCACCACAACATGAGGAACTGTATTAAAGGGCCGCGGCATTAGGAGGGTTGACTGTGTTTCAGTGCTATCCCTGCCTGAGTCCTAGAGATGGAAAGTGTGGGGGTTTCTCCAGGCCGTTCAGCACTTCACGTGCGCGTGACGGGCCGCGGCCCTGATAGTTTAGCCGCAGCCGGGCCCCGGTTTCCTGAACCAGCGCCTGTGGTTGGGGGGGTTGGGGGGGTGGGGGTAGCTGTTGCATTGCCACCTGTTCTCCTCAGTCAGCACTACGCATGCGTTAACTCTTAGTCTGTGAAGAAGAGACTTCACAATTCACAAGTATCTGTGGGCGCCAATCTGTCACCATTTTACATAATTTATTAGAATAGTTTTCTGCAAGAGCTGCTGCTGGGACAAAAGTGAGAAAAATTTTATTTTTATTAAAAAAATGTTAAATATATTTTTATTGATTTCAGAGAGAAAGGAAGGAGTAGCGAGAGATAGAAACATCAGTGATGAACATCAGTGATGAGAGAATCATTGATCGGCTGCCTTCTGCACGCCCCCTACTGGGGATGGAGCCTACAACCCAGGCATGTGCCCTGACCAGGAATCAAACCATGACCTCCTGGTTCATAGGTCAATGCTCAACCCCTGAGCCACACCGTCCAGGCAAAAGTGAGAAGATTTGAAGGCTCTCAGTTCAAAGGGCTTTCTGTTGCCATTTTAGATCAGTGGTTTGAAGTTGCCCATCTTGCTATTTTGCCCGCATCAAGGGGTATTTTTTAGCCTTGACTGTCTGGGTGGGTGAAGAAAACCCTTGGCAGTGTTCCGATTGGACATGACACCAGTTACGGGGCAGGTGGGATGTCGGGCCCAAGGGAGTGACTTGCAGGCCGGGGAGACAGGGCAGAAGGAGCAGGGACCGTCGCCCTGGGATTTGTCTCCACCCCAGGTCTGGGAGGGGTTGGCTGGGCGCCCAGCACCCGGTGGTTTCTGTGGGTGCTGGTTAGG